CACTGTGTTACACACACAAACACACACTCACAAAAACACATGTACACATACTCTTACGCACACACATTAACATTGACACACACACACACACACACACACACACACACACACACACACACACACACACACACACACACACACACACACACACACACACACACACACACACACACACACACACACACACACACACACATACACACACAGAGGTACTGAGGTGGGATCCATATATACACACAGTCTCTTTCTTAGGCATCAGTGGGACACTTTAAAAACACACGTACACACACACACACGCACACACACACACACACACACACACACACCCACCCACACACACACACACACACACACACACACACACACACACACACACACACACACACACACACACACAGAGACACACCAACTTACATGCACACAAAAACACACCCACACAAACTTACACACACCCATGGGAGGACGCTCAAACAATATGCACAAAAACACACAATGTCACACACAAACTTACACACACACTTGAGGACACACCCCCCCCCCCCCCTTCTGAAGGAGGCACAGCATGGATCAGATCAGGCAGGATCCTGGAGTAAACACAGAGATCATCATCATCAGAAAGAGCAGAGGTCACTGAGTAGAAGCAGCTTCCTGGAGACGTTCAGCTACTGACCTGTAGGGGGCGACCACACACACACCATCTGGTTTATAGACATACCCGGGGTCCATACATTCACAAGTCTGGGTTTCAGACAGAGGTGGGGTCCATACATTCACAAGTCTGGGTTTCAGACAGAATCAAATATCAGGAAACAGAGATATGCAGCACTGAGTATATAAGTGGGTTTAAACAACACAAAGCTAAATGGCTTCACAGCGTTAGCATCAGTGGCGTAGCGGAGGCCCCCGCACCCCCCGCGGTGCGGGGGAGCCCCGGAGCTTAGGGGACCCCGCCCCCACTGTAGGCTATCCTCTTAGATTTCGTAACGCGGGAACAGGGTGCAGAGGGCGGGGCCCCCCCCCTCCCTGCTATGTTGCTACGTCATGTGTACGCTGCCTGTAGTAGTACAACAGTGTATCATTATAATTATTTGCTCATCTGCGATAGGGCTAGCCGGCTGATAACTAATGTTCATTGGCAGGCTGGGCAGCGTTCAAAACAAAGCGGGAAGCATTGCTCATATAAATAACGTTCATTAGTTGCGTTGCCGGTAAACATGAAAAATGAAGCGCCACTACCCAAGCGGTGCTCAGAAAAGCAAAATGAGAGCGAAAGCCGAACAGGAGAGGGCAAAACTACCTAAAATAACGTCATTGTTCCGGCAGGCAGCAAAGGTAGACGTAGACTCTAACGTTACTGCAGATAGACCGCTAGCAACCCCCCCCGGCCCCCGGCCGTCAGCTCCGAGTCCAGGCAGACAGCCCAGCAGCCCCGTTACAGCCGAGCCAGCTAGTCGTGCCTCGCGCTTCGAGACAGGTTAGACATTAGAATAATATAAAGTTTTATTCGCCATAACCAGTATGCTACAGGTTACATTGGAATTGGAATCTAATCCGTTCATTTTTGCAGGTCAGCAAGAAGTCAGCTGTGCCCCCTCCGAGGCCAGTTCAGACATAGGCATAGACAAGGCTGCCCAGCCAGCTAGCCGTGCCCCCACAGACCCCAGCAGCCCCGTTACAAACGGTACATTCTGAATAACGGGCCATGCAAGCCTGAAGGGCCATTCAAAAGGGATGGGAAGGGAAGGTGCTTTTCAAAAGAGTTCTATAACAAAACATCCAAAATTGGATATAGAATTCCACGAAAGTGGCTATGTTACTCGCCATCTATGGACCGGGTGTACTGTGAGCAGTGCTGGCTGTTCGGTGACAGACCGTCTGCCCATCACCTCCACCAAGCGTGGAGAATAGGAATAAATGATTGGCAGGGTCTCTCTAAAAAGATTAAGGAACACGAATTCTCTCGCTCTCATTTGGCAGCATGTGTCGTGTATGATACGTGGAAAAATAATCTGACCATTGACGCGCAAATATCATCTGAGTTTAAGAGAGAGGTGGGGTTTTGGACCGAGGTCCTAACCAGAATAACTGATGTTACACTAACACTGGCCTCTCGCAACTCTGCTTTCCGGGGTCACAGAGAGAAAATAGGTGATATAGATAATGGTAATTTCTTATCTACCATAGAACTTATGGCGCGTTATGATCCAGTTCTGCAAAGGCTTATTGAAAGCAAAAAGAAGGTGCACTACCTAAGTCCTCAAACTCAAAACGAAATAATTTCATTGCTATCGAAAAAAGTGCAGGACACAATCATTACAGACATACAGAATGCAGAATTCTATTCGATTATAATGGATACTACCCAGGACATTTCAAAAGTAGACCAACTGAGTCAAGTGTTCAGATATGTTACTATAGCAAATGATGAAAATGGAAACCCTACAGAGGTGAAAATAAACGAAAGTTTTTTGGGCTTCCATGCAGTCACAGACCAAACTGC